GCCCGAGCCCCGCCAGAGTCGAGCAAGGTAGCCGCCCCGCCGCCCCTGTTTTCCGAAGAAAACCGTTTCGTTTTTTTAGAAAACCCTAGGTTTTCGTTTTTTATTTAGATCGTTTTATTTCTTCGATTTATCTATTTAGCGAGCGTTCGTTCGTTCGTTCGTTTTAACGAACGCGTTCTTCGTTTAGGTTCAGATAACGAACGTTCGTTCGTTAAGCCGTTCACCGCTTTTCTTTTCTCGAATTTATTCCGTGATTTTTCTGATCGCGATTTCTGATCCGATTTTCGTTCCAGTTTAACTTTTCGCTCGTTTATCGGAATTAGGCGATTAAAGCGCCTAGAGTTTCGTCTCGAAACCCTCTTTCCGAATAACCAACTCAAACAAGTTTTTGCGTCTATAAAATTTGACCCTAGTTTAGATTAGTAAACGGATCTTATTTCTTTCGCCGTTTGAGTTTCGTTGCTTCGTTTGGTTTGATTCTTTTCGCGAACCGGAGTTCTTAAGTTGAACTTTCTGGTCAGCCTCTTTAGTTGTAGTTTTGCTTGTGCATCTTTGCTTGTTGCTTATGTATGTATTGTTTGCTTGCGATAGAATTCCCGGAGTGTGAAGCGTGTTACTACGAGTCTCAAGAGTTCACGGATCGTCAGCAAGGCAAGTAACACTTTGATCATACTCTTTTCATACCCAATTTTTATGCATTAGTTTCAATCCTCAAACATTGCATTGATTAGGATGTCATTAACTTGTGGGTATTGGGAAGTAGTAGTTGAGGTAGAACCTATTGTCCTGTTACTATCAAACCCTTGGGAGTTACTTCTACATGTTGCTTATATTGCTATGCTATGCTCGTAGACGTGGTTTGGGTTTGAGTGAATCCATGACAGATGTGAGATTGTTAATTAATGGTTTAATTTAAGGTGGCAACTTTAATACACATCTGGGTGGATTGAGGCACCTGGGGAACCCAGTGTTGTCTGTTTTATTTTTGGAAATCCCGGGGTACCCGTGTGATCTTCCTATGGACCGCCACCCAGGCTCAAAGGGAACTGAGATTATTCATGCTAGAAACTTCCGTGTGCAGCCACAAGCTACTATAGGCTCTAGCATAGTTGAGTAAGTTACGTGAAGCTCTTGAAGAGGTAGATCAACAGGTAGTGGGTTTGTAGGTTTGGTATGGTCTGCCCGGAGTAGAGAGTTAATGTTTCTGAAAGACTATGTCTCGGTCATCCGTTTCTCAAACACCATGTAGTGCGAGAAATCAACGGAGGCGATCGAGTCTTGTGGGGAAAAGTGCGCAAACCTCTGCAGAGTGTACAATCTAATCATGGTTAGCCGTGTCCCCGGTTATGGACAATTCTGAGTATCTAGTACTTGAGTATTCACATGTATCTCATCACTCTTAGCTAATATTGTTGGGTTGTTAACTACTTTAATTGGGATTGAGTTGGGGTTATACCTTCTCAATGATGTTTCAACCACCATGATAGTTAAATAAAATTTATTCCT